GAGAAAACCGAATTGTAGGCGGTCAGATGGGAAGGAGGGAGGAATACGATGCAAAGACGAGTGAAAACGGAAGTTAAATACTGGGCAGAAATGTTCGGGAAGCGTGGTAGGGATCTTTGGGATAAAGGTGACTCTAGCTACATTAAGATGAGTGGGGTATAGATGAGAGTCAACGATGCAGTTCAGAAAAGATGTTTGACAAATGTTATTGAAGCGCGTACTGAATTCGTGTCCGAAATGGTGTGCGAGAGAGTCGGCTAAGAGATTTCGAAGCTCGGCGATCCGTACTTGTGTTAAATCCGCACATAAGGGGAGTAGGAGGCTAGTCTCTCGGAGCAGATGTTGAAATGTTATAAATCGTTCAGATGTGGAGCCACCTGTGTCATCCATCGCAGGCGTAGTACATTCTCCGTGTGCGATTGAAGTTGGTACGATTCGAGTTGGTGTGGGACGCTTGGCTCTCGTGTTGGAGTCGTGCTCAGGTAAGCTGGTGTCACGCATCCAAATCAACATTGTGGCCCTGACGGAGATAGGTTGTTAGATTCCCACATGATGAGAAGAACAATGTTGGCGATGAAACGGCCCATCTGAGAGTCTGCTTGTCATGGGATAAGGCGTCTTGTCCCGCGGTTGTGAAGGTACGTGGATCAGGGTTTGGTATGGTCTGCGCTGTAAGATGAGCTCCGGTCTCATTGAGTTTCCAGCCTAAATTTAGCAGGCGTTTTCTAATACTCTCCGCAGATCGGGCAGGGTAGTCTTGTTTTTGGCGATTGGCTAAATCGTACAAAGGTCCGACATTCACTCTGAAAGCATCGGTTATTAAGCAGGGTCGCGTCCTGCAGGACCGTCCATTTAAACGGATGAGCATGCAAATGCCTCATACATTCTTCATTGTATTCGACGAGGTGGCGAATTCTACGATTTGTGTAAGACCTCGTTATGCTGTAAAGGTTCTTCTGCACGTGCGATATTTACGTAAGGGATCGTTGTACCCTACCGTTTCCGCCATGAATCTCGTTGGATTTCGCTGGTGTGCCCAGTGGCCTCGTGTGTCATTTTCTAGTAGAGAAACTTCATGGACCAAGTTCACATTGGTAGCTATGGATTTGCTGTGAAGCAAGCGACACGGATCTAGGGTTCTGCTCCTTATCAGATGATTCACAATTGACAGACATTAAGGATGGCAAGGGAGGGCTATTGATGACGCTGGAAATGGGTCTATCGGTGTCAGTGAGTTAACAGTCTATTGGGCGACTGCTGAAGCGAGATGGATGGTTCTAGAGGTAATCTGATGTTATATGTAAGTTTTGGCCATTGATGGTGGGTGCTGTTGAGCGGGGATTTAGTGGACGTGCGGTCAAGAAGAATGGAACTGCAATCGGCAGAGGCAGATCCGCTCGTTTGTTGTGTATCAGAATCAGCAGGTCCGCTGTCATGGTGATTCAAAATCGGAGACGTAGGGAGACAGGTCGAGATCTGCAACGCCGGTCTTCATAATCCCCAATCCGCAGCTGGGGTAGGAGATGTCAAGAAATGTGCGGCTTGTTACCAGGGTATGGAGGGAACTACATTCCGGGAACGGTTCCTGGACTTTCGGTGAACCCTGGGCAGGGTTAGCCCCTGTGATAGTGGTTGTAATGGAGGCGTTGCCATGTGAACTGTCATCTATCTATCTAGCCTCCGTATATGTTTGGGGTGTGGGGTAGCTGCGGTAGACTTGGCACGTTGAGTAAGTTGATTGTTCCGTTCTGCCGTTACTGCCCGAGTCGGAAAACCCTCCGTACAAAGTTTCAGAATAGCAGTGATTCAGATGACGGTTGATTCACCACTAGGTGGATAGCATTGGGCTGGATAACAGTAGGAAGCGAAATTTCGGATGAAGGATGGTGACAGTCGCGTTTTCAGCCCTCCCATTTCAGGTGGTGAAGCCCCTTCCTGATGGCTGCGGCCTTGCGAGCATGTAAGCAAGTTTGTAATTTGGTGTGGAGTTGATATAGAAATGCCGTGGAAGAGCTCAAACTGGTGACTAATCCTAGGAGTAGATAGCCTACGTCGACAGACCAGTAGTTTGACGTAGGTGTTGATATGGGGTCTTCATAACTTTGCAGTTCCAAGTATGTCTATGGCGGTAGTGGTGTGTAAAAGCGCATGCCGACGAAAAATGACGATCACATATTAGACATGGATGAGTGCTCATCTCGAAGAATTGTATCGTGGAAAACACTATGTTGAGTAAGAATAGAAGCAGTGGAAAAGTGGACTTTGCAAGTTAGCCTGATATAAGACTCCGGGTGGTCTGCCAGCGTAGTGTGTAATGGAGGCGGAGATGTAGTTGCAAGATCGAGGTCCATTGCCTGTTCGGCGAGGAGGATAGCGGCTGAGCTCAGTCCAAATGAAGAATGATTGTTAGTTGAAGAGGTTTAGAGTGGTAAGGGGTAGAGAAGAGAAGAAGTATTTCGGAAACAGGAAGAAAATGCTACAGGTCTGAGTAACACTTGCACAAAGTGTTATACCCTTTGTTAGAGCGGCAAAAAGCTAAGGAGAAGATTTGAGGCAGTAGCTGAAGTCACTCGTCCATACCCGGCCAAAATAGAGCAGCATAATAACAGTTTATGCGGTACCTAGTAACTAGGAAATAGTTAAGCATGCAGAAGCTAGGCAGACTGTTATCATCACGGTGTAGATGGAAGAAACGTTTCACAGTAGGCACTGTGACAACGTAGTGGAGAGCACCATTAACAATGAGTGGGGAATATAAGGGGTGGTAACAAAAGTGTTGTTATACTGACCTCATACTAGGTGTATACGTGGATAGTCTGCTGATAGAAAATTATTAGGAAGGGGGGCTGGTGTGCGGGAAGTGTGATAAGGGCGGCAAGCTCGGACATGAGCGGGTCAAGCAAACCAATGGATATGAAACGTATGGGTCCAGGCAATAGTGGTAAAATTTGAATAATGCCGTAAGAAGACGAACACTGGCAGATGTCAACAATACGAAATGTTGACATCTTCCAGTGTTCGTCTTCTTACGGCATTATTCAAATTACTAAAGGGATCTAATTGTTTCAAATAGTGGTAAAAATTGGTGTTACGGGAAAAGCAAACTTTGGAGATAAACTTGAGGCGAGGAACGAGCGAGCCTGATCCGTTGGTGACTAATGAGAAGAATGGTTAGTGATTGCCAGAGGCGTGAGGGAATTTGATGGAGTAATTGTGCATATAAAGAGGTCATGTCCTGGAATATCCCTGGCTAAGCAGACAAAGCGAAGTGGTGAGAAATTAGCTTTGCTAGACCCCAGTGGCGGTTTGGCGCATGTGTGAAGCCAGATGCTAGACTGTCAAAGATAATCTCCGGGATAGAATCAGTGTTCATTGGCGATGGTGAAACGCAGCTCGTCAGATAATAACAGAAAATAAGCTGAGCTTACGAAACAGGGGATCAAAATTTCACATATCGACCTGCTCAGATGTGAGAGCATGATGAGTGGTATAGGGAAATATAAGGGGTCATCTAGGGTCAGGAGTGAATACCGTCTGAGGAAGTGGGCGGTTGAACCAGATGGTTACATCGCCTGTGATGACTGTGAGGGACGCTGATTGTGACTGTTTGTGTTGATACGCTTCTAACTAACCCGGGGTTTGGAAAATTGTGTGGGCTGAGGAGAGCGGAAGTGGGTAGCTGACGTCTATATGTGCCGTGATAGGTAATATTAAACTTTAAAGAAATATCTATAATGACTGAACTATTCTGAAAAGGAGAATAAGGTGCCCGCTAAATTAGCCAGTGGAAGATGAAAAATAAAAAGAGTCTAATCTAGACAGCAAAATTTTAAAGTTCAATGAAAAAGTGGTCATAGGTTCGATTACTGTGGGTCGGTTGACTTGATAATGTAGTCATGCGATGTGACAGGGGTAGTTAAGCATTAGTATACAGTAGTACACAAAATAATAACAACCATCATATAGTAGGACTTGGTGGCAGAAAATGTATGGATCAGTGTTTCCCTAATTGATGGAATCAAGGAGAGACTAAACCTGATAGTAGGAGTATGGTATGGGGGAAATGAAGAAATAAACCCGAGCCTAAATATCTTTTACAAAATTCTCAAGTCATTAATAGAGTATAAATCATTACTAGAAAACCAAACAAGCTATGAGAGAAATGAAAGGATACAAAATGTTGAGTAGAATACGACAAAATCATGGGTTGTTCTCACCGCTGTTCTCTTTCACTGATGAATATTCATTTTAAACCATTCCGAAATTGATGACTTTTCACCATTCTACTTTCATCCAACAATTCTACAAAATTTGTTAGTGCCCTTGATGGAGCTCGTCGAGTGCAGACAATTGGTATTACTTATTCCACGAAATGATGGAGAAAACTCTAGATAGTCCATCACGAGCACGCAGGCGCAGCGACACGTCCGCTAGGCAGGCACTCAAACTACTCTTTGTGACCTGTGCAATACGTGGATACATGTCGCAAAGGGTAAACTGATGCGCCCTTGTGTAGGTAGACGGGTAAGGCAAGGGTTCACACAAAAAACGGTCTAGGTCGCTTCGTGAACGCAGATCTGTGGAGACGTCTTGTAGGAGGTAACAACCCATGCACGTAAACCCTGGGGGTGGGGCGGGACAAGAGTACTCGCGCCCATACACAGAGAAAGAACATGAATCGTCAAACGTCTACGCAAAGTGTGATACTTAAGGGTCAAGAGAATTTCACACATTACAAAGTCCCGTTGACTATGCACTGTTATTCGAAAAAGTCGGTTATTCGACGTCCATATCACTGTAGACCTTTATATGTTCAAATTGTAGTGATTTATTTGACGGTGACTGTTACACCCCAACTTGTCCGCACACAACCTACACAGGTGGGTAATATACCTAGGCCTGGCTCAATAGGATTTACATAGTGAAGGTTCAAGCTATGAGAAAACGGTCAAGTTATAGTGATGGTCCGCTTCGAAGGATTTACTGGAATTTGAACTTACCACACAAAAGCGCAGTCGCTGAAGCAGCGGAGTCGGTGGTCATTCGGTCTGCGCTGTATGTTTGAACAAGGGCGGAAAATGGCCAGTTGTCCCATTCCATCCCAACCTCACCTGCCGCCTTCCCATGATAGTTCGCTTTCAAGTATCTGGCACCCGTCACAGTGCTAATACCCATACCGTCCCCAATGAAAAGTATTACATTTTGCGGTCTTCTCCTTCCTTTCACTTCGTAATCAGAAAGTCTCTTCTCAGAATCTTGAAGCTTTCGTTCAGCCCGTCTCCTTGATAGGCTTGGGTCAGAAACTTCAGGGAAAACTGACATATACTGTGGGAGGAAGACTAACTGCCAAAGTAAAACCGAGAACCAGATCCACATCGAAATCTTGAGAGACTTCTTGCAAACCATGAGTGTAAGTGGACTCAGGCAAAAATAATTGCAAACTGTGAATGCATATTAATTAGCCATGTGTGACGCACTTTCCAGTGAAATGTTTTTGTTGTTACACAATCAGCTCCAACCAATCATTTAAGTCGATAAGCACACGTACCAGCGTCAACGCAAGGTACCGACAGGTGCGGACTGAAAACACCAAACTAATCAAGATGAAATGTGAATAAATTAGGGGTGAATAGGCTGTAGAAATAGAAACGTGTTCCAATGGTGTCCAAAGGTCGAATCAGATTAAATGGAGCAAAGAATGACAACTTACGGACAATTTACGTCAGTAAGCAAGACAGAACGAGGTCGAAAAAAGTTACATTCGGAAACACCTAAGCGCGCACAAGTGTGGACAAATACACGGTTGAATATTAACGAATGTGGTGAAAAGCGACAGGAACAAAGAATGTACTCATGGTAAGACCAAAGAAGGGCTGTCCGTAATATAATGATGCGATCCCAGATCAGATGTAGATAACTAAATCCAGGGGGCGGATAAACGCTTGCATGGAAAGTGGGTGGCTAGTGCACATGTCGGCCGATTCTAGTAGACGTTCGGTTGCATAGTGATAGGTGCACTGTGATGTCTCGGGACGCCCAGTAGGTTCGAGTGAAATAGAACACTTGTCGTAATCCTCATGGCTTGGACCGTTTGTCTCCAGTTTAAGTTCAAAAATAATACTGAATGCCGGCTTATAGTTGAGTATTCAATCAGAGCTCAAAATTACAAGCTTTCAACTGTATATCCTGAGTATGTAAGATGGACATTTCTCAGAACATTCAAGTGCTTCATGACATTGTGTATCTGCGGCGATCATCGCAAGTTTATGTATCGTGTGACCGGGATGCGTTTAGCAATTTTCAAATAAATTGCCGCATATTCCCCGCCCTGAGAAAACCCTGAGGAATTTAACTTCAGTCCAGAGATTTAATCGGATCTCACACGATGCACTACACACTCAAGCGCGGCGTCTGCCTACCCCAACTTGCACGGCGCTTCACGTGATGAGGCGAAGAATAGGGATACGTGAACTATCGATCCATTCTGGTCGATGTTTGACGACAGGATGTTTCGGGAAAAGCTGGATGCCTGTGGGCTCTGTACTGACCGAGGTTTAGTCGTAACACTGAAGTTACCGTTACGTACCTGGTCTACAGTGATAAAAAGTGGACGCCGCGTTGGCGCACGAACATACACGTGATGCACAACTGCTGCTATTTCATCGCAGCTATGTTCCCAATATGCCCCATGCTGAGGCTGATGTTGCATTCTTGATGCTTCTTCACCGCAGTTGGGCTAAACCAACTTACACTTAAACTAGGTCTTTTTCAGCTGGATAAATTTCATTTCGCTTTATTTGGTTTGTTCTGCCTCCCTGAATAATGTTCTATTAACTGGCCACGTTGCATACACTAATTGTGCTTATCTTCGGTAATTTTGTTGCGTTTTGTAGCATTTTTAAGTAACTTGTGGACATTTCTTACTTATCACGGATTTGTTGTTAACGCAGTTACTTCATATGGTAAATTAGCGAAGAGTTATGCCACCGTATCTGTATGCATTGTTGGATTTATTTTATTTCAGCTTGTCGTTTAAAGTGAATGGCTGTTGTTTGATATCCCCGGTGTGGTTGCGCTTGATGTGTATGTTGACAAGGTGCCTACCTGTCTATTACCCACTACATCGTTCATACTGGCTCCAGGAGACAGTTGGTCGTTGCTGGAGGGGACGGGGTGCACGGTTCTTGTGGCCGTGCTAGGCTCAAAGAGCGGTTCCATGCACTCAGTGTGGAGCGGACTACGGTCCAGCCACCGCCTTGTGTGCGCTTGATTCCCCAAATACAGCGTGCTTGTCTTTGCCTGTGAAGGAGTGTGGGCCGGCTCCGTTGATGAAACGTGGTTCCCATCCGCATGCCTCCCGGTCTTATTCCTTCGGGTTTACACTGGATATGGGGTATGTGGTTGGAGCAGTGGGTGGTGCAGCGCAAGCCATCCATGGTCCCTCTGTAGGCGCAGGCGTCCTGTGGCTTGCCACAGTGACAGGCAAATCCGAAACCGGATGCCGCCAACCATGTTCCCAATATAGTAGACAGACTGACGTACACGTAAGTAATAAAATTTCGATGTGCCCGTCTTTGTATCAAAGGTATTGTTAAAACACAGTTACAGTGGGCACGCCAGTAGACTGAAAACTAGCTTCCGAAGCAGCACTGTAAGAAAAAGCGCCACTTTCAACTAGACCTTTCACATTAAGAATTATAACGACTTGGTTGAGGAGTATTTTCTCATGGTTAGTATTTAGCTTTCCTGTTAATTGAGCCCCATCGCAATGAGGCTGGACCTTACCGTGGTGCGATGGTTTGTATGCCTCAGCGATCCATAGAACTATGCTGCGTGGTGCTTTTCTGCAGCTTCAGAGCCACTCATACCAGATAGGTCAATGATTAGAGGTCAGACAAACTCAGCTTCCTGGTCCTCCAGGTTGGGGATTGGAATGAGGTTGGCTCCCTATTACTTAAAACGGACTCCTTGTAGTCCAACGCCAAACCCACTGCCTTGCGGTCAGGTTTTGAACCAGAGACTTTGCTTGAGAACCCCAATAGTTCTCCTGTCTAGGCCTGGGCAACCTGACGGTATGCTGCTCACGCAATACAATGAATTTCTCTTCAAACAGTTTCTTGATGCTCTAGCCACCACAGAGCATACTCAACGGTGCCCTATTTGCTGCATCGAGCAGGGTGAATAGGGGTTTGGATGCTACTGCTCAAGCCTTCCCGTCTTCTTATTCCCCCTCTTACGCTTTTTCTCTCTTGCCGTCCCGTTCCAGCTTCACTTTTATCCCCCTGTTTTCAACCCCCAATTCTTGGCCCTCCCGCACCTTGCTTTGCTAGGCTTTTACCTTCTAGTTGCAACTCACATGTGACCGCGGAGCATTTCTCCTGTCCTGCCGACAAGCCCATGTCCAACCAAGCGGCCAAGCCAAGTTCATCGGCTTCCATTTGGAGCCCACGATCATCCTTCAAATTGACATGCCTTAGTGTGCCCACATTGCTACAGATCGGTCAACAGGCAGCAATTGCTCGAACATTAGAGACCACCTCGAACGATATCTGCTGCTTATCGGAGACCTACCAGCAAGACTCAAGCTCTGTGTTCACTCTGCAATCCCCTTCAGGTGACACCAGCAGTATTTTCTCATTGCGCCTATCCGGTGACGATGCAGCTTCGAGCGCCGGCCAAACCGGTGTTCGAATCGCCCTGAGTCCACGGGCTGAAGCTGCGCTGGTTGACTGGATTCCAATCAGTAGCCGGATGTGTACGGTCCGACTGCCTGGCACGTTCAAAGATTGGAAATCGCGCGGGACTAACAGGCGACTATTCGTCATCATTGCCTATGCACCCACATACTGTAGCGATGATTCGGTAAAAGACGACTTCTATCGTCAACTGAACGAGCTCCTTAACCAAAGAAGAAGCTCGGACACTGTTGTGTTGGCTTGGGATCTGAACGCTCAATTTAGAAAATTATCCACTGACGAGGTGCATCTGGGCGGCCAACAAGGTGTAGGCTCCCGTAATGATAACCGTGATTGGTTACTTCATTTATGTTAAGGTGCTCACTTATTTCTTGCAAGCACTAATTTCCGACACAGCACCCGCCGGAGGGTGACTTGGCACCCACCAGCCTCGAACCAGCTATGGACGCAAATCGATCATATTGCGATAAGTTATCGATGGAGAGGCTGCGTCCAGAACCGCTGCTCGGTTTGGAGCACATGTGTAGACACCGACCATGCACTTGTATGTGCTGACCTGAGGATGCGTTTTGGCGAACGCCCACGACGACTTTGTGACCGCATTGCCACCAAAAAACTGGCGAAACCAGCTGCTCTGAATGCCTATCAAAGTACGCTGTTATGCGATTTGAATAAGCACTCACTGGATGCAGTTGAAGCTCACTGGTAGCATGTTCACCAGTCCTTACTAGCAGCAGGAAAATCCTCATGTGGTAAGTCAAATCGCCAACATGGACACTGAGTCTCTTCGCAGTCTCTGGAACTTATCGATGCTCGCCGGCATATTCCGGCTGGAAGCGAACACAATTAAACTCAAAAAGAGTTCCGGGAAAAACTCTGTACTAGCCTGAAGAGATACCGCGAATCCTGATGTTCTCATCGTGCATCAGAGATGAAAATGGCCGCTGCCCTTGGTAACCATCGTAAGTTATTCCATCTGATACGGGAAACGGACAGTAGAAGACCTGGGGTTCGTGAAAATACACGTGATGAGAGTGGACAGTCTATCCACAACTTGTCCAAATCCTTGGAGCGTTTGGCTGACCACTTTGAAAGGCAATTTAATCGGTCGGAATGGTTAGATTTCTCGCCGGCCTCTGATCGCCGCGCTCCGTGTGCTGCCAATTTGGATCCGTCCTCTAGCTCAGAAGTTGAACGTGAGATCGCATTGTTGAAGTTAAATAAAACCGCGGGACCAGATAATCTACCGCCAGCCCTCTTCAAATTCGGGGAACCTGCTCTTGTGAATGATTTATACGCTTTACAAGTGAAACTGTGGGAGCAAGATACTGTCCTAACCGACTGGAACCGCTCCGTCATAGTCCCAATTTTCAAGGGAGGCTTCCGATCGGAATGCGGCAGCCATAGAGGTATCAGTCTGATCTCCATCGTCGCCTAATTATTTGCTTCTGTATTCCTTCATAGGCTGACTACCACTTGTGAAAGCCATATTCTTGAAGAGCAAACCGGGTTTCGTCGAGGTCGTGGCCGCATTGAGCACACCTTCACTTTGCGTCAGTTGTTGGAGCATCGTCACAAATATTGGCGGCCCACCGTTGTCGTGTTCCTCGATATCAAAGGTGCATTCGATTCTGTGGATAGAAGTACACTTTGGGACTGTCTACTCGGTAAAGGTGTACCTGAGAAACATGTAAATATTATCCGATCATTATACGTCTGTAGCTCAGACAGAGTGAGGGCTTACGGCAAGCTGTTGTCGCCCTTTAATATCTCCAGCGGTGTGAGACAAGGATGCCCGCTGTCACCGTACCTCTTCAACTTCGCTATTGACGA